GATTCGGTAGCATTAAGGTTGGCCTCGAGTCCATTATTTGTCGCAGGGTTGATCATCTCAGTAACCTGAGACCAAAGCATTCGTCCTATCATCTGAATGGCCAAACGAGCCTTATCCATAGCTGACGTGACGGCAGCCGCTTGGAAATTTCCACCAGAGTACACTCTTCCAATAGAACCATCGTCTTGTTTGCTGGTGTCCACCAGAGGGTTATCTGATGTGGAGTTGAGCTCCACTTCGAGCTGATGCTGCGCTAGAAGAAGGTCCTCGATATACGGTCCAATCCATTGAGGGGCTGTTCTTGTCGAATACCGATCTTGACAGAGCCCATCGCCAGATGCCTGCTGCGACTCCAAACCAACAACAAACTTGGAGCCCCTCAAGAAGCGCTGGATATTGCTTGCCACCTCAATTTGCCCGGCGTGAGGTCGAGTCGCGTGAATAAAGGGATGAGCCCACTCTACATTTCCAGCCAAGCATTCCGAAGCGAATGCCGTCAGCATTTGAGACAACAATGCAAGCTGCTGTGCATCATACAATGCCAGGCTTGCTACTGCCACAGAAGGAGCAGTCCCATTAATAAGCCCAAGTCCCTCCTTCGGGCCGAGTCCGGTCGGGGAGAGCCCGCTCATTTTCAAGGCCTCAGAGGATGGCACAACTATGGCTTGTGCGCCCTTACCCACCTGGACAAAAACATCTGGATTGCCCATAATTGCTCCAGCGATGTAAGCCATGGGCATAAGATCACCCGACGCAGAAATGGTGCCCCTAAGTGGAATTAGGGGAGTAATGCCGTTGTGCAGCAGGTCAAGCAGGCTTTTGAGCACGCACTTGCGGATAGCACTATGACCCCTGAGATTTTGATTTGCTCTGGCCACGATGGCGGCTCGAACCCAGGCAAGAGGCATGACGTGGGATGGTTCCCGCTCCGAGTTGCTGGCTGGGTCCTTGTCAGCGGCAGTGATGATTCCACTTTGGATAAATTGCAGAAGATGGGTCTGCAGGTCGATAAGTTCGTTGGTTCTTGTATCAGCACTGCCGCCGAAACCAGTGTTGACGCCGTAGATGACACATTTCTGAGAGATGACATCGGCTATAGTGTCGACGGAGATCTCAAGCCGTTTGGAAAGCAGCTCGTCCGTGCTGATGGTGGGCTCGACGCCATGACGGGCGACGGCCACGATGGAAGCAATGTCGAGGTTATTGCCGTTAAGCTCAAGGTTTTGTTTCCTGTTCCTCAAATCATGCGCGTGTCCCAAAAGTTGGAGTGTTGCGCTCATATGAGCCGATCCGTCGTGCCTCGTCAAGGTCATAATAAGGTAGAGGCAGCAAGTTATATAATCTCTCAATTCCAGGTGTGGCTTTATTGTCTGCTCGGTTACCAAGGACTTAAATGATTACACAAAGCTTCGATTGAGTAACGAAAAAGAGTGAAAAGGGAAATATATCAATATAAGTAGTGTATTCACTGTCTATTTTGTACTTATCAGATATAGAATTATTAAAAGTGGAAACCGGATATGCAAGGCCCTGGTCCCGTCAGCTTCCTCCCGAGTGAAGATCTCTCCGTTGTGAATCTGTGTTACATTAGTATAAACTGTACTAGTCTCACTTTATTTGAACTTTAAGAAGGTAGGTACTCAGCTGATCGGCACTATAGGCGACGAGGCCACCACGGACTTTAGTCCTATTGGCTATCACTGTCGGCAAAAGAGAATCCATATGAAAATAACTCCCTCCCATTTAATAGCTGAGGACCCCAGTTCCAAAGGGCCAAGGCCCCTGGAGTGAGCTCTAGTTCTAAGGTGGAGCTATAATCGCTTAGGAAGCTCCCTATTTCCGCAGCCCCTGGGCGGCTACCTTAGGCCCTGAATGAAAAGCAGTAAATAAAGGTTGGTGAATACGACAAAACTCCTGCGTGGTTAATCTGAACATCCTGAACTCCTAGTTGGTTACTCAGCTGGAACATGTACATGGAAAATTTAAACCAGCATAAATACTAACCTGCAGAGTATGCAGATAGATCTCAATCCTGATTAATTAAGTTTCCTAATTTAGCTGAACGGGGAGCATGCCTTGTTGATCAGGACCCACTAACCAAGATCTATCAGACTCAAAAGGGCCCACTGGGCCCTGATGAAGATCACAACACTGCAAATGTAGTATCAAGTCAGTGTTATATTCAATATCTAAATATGCAAGAAATAATAATGTTGATTACTCCTTCAGGTCTGATCAACAAATTCCAGGTCGTGCTCAGTTGGAACCGATTTCAGATGAGCAGGCTTTTAGAATCTTGAAAATGAGACCAGGAACATTTGGTGGGGCGACGTAAGGGGTAAAAAAGAAATATACTAACTAGTTAGTGAGCAAGTAACTAACTAACTAGTACTTGGTTCTTAAGATCCTAGATCTCAATCCTCACGTGGATATGAAATGATGTAAATGCACAGATTCCCAGAAAACTGCATCCAAGAGCTTACCCTTCATTCAACTAGCTAGTACTTATGGAATCCAATGAGAGGGCCAGTATACGGCTTTCCACTCACGCTTTGCGACCGACGCACAGTAGACTACGCATCTCAGGCCACTGCGATGGATATTCCAAGTTGTTCCTCGTGATTACGTCAACGAAAATATACTTTGTGATGAGAAGCATGTAATCGCCTTCATATAACTAGATTCCCACGCTAGCGATGTAGAATAAGTAACATTTGTTGTGGATAACAATAAATATATCGTGCAGTCTTTCCAAACTGTTCTTTACTGTAGTTCTAGACCGAATTTTTGACCGCTCTATATAATGTATTGTATAACACAAATAAAGCTACATATATGTAGTATTCCCATCATCATTTTCATCACTTTCATTATTTCCATCATCGTCATCGCCCCGAAGCTATCCAGTACCCAACACGCGGTATCGAGAGTTTTACCATCTTCGCCTAAGCAAATACAGAAGAAAAGAGTTGCAGCTTTAGCTTCGTATAATGAGTGACAAGCCGCTACAATAGTAACGGTATTAGACTCGACAATAGTGTCAAGACTAGACGGAGGACGGAGGACGGAGGTTTACCTTAAGGTAATTATAAAGCGGTGATGGGTAAAAGTAAAGAGTGGAGGAGAGAAAATATATCCATCGCTAGGTCTGGGGGTGTTTGATATTTTGTATGGTCGGAATATCTTCAGTTTATGAGACTTAGGCACTTTCCAACCTTGGAAGGTTGGGTACTTTACTTAATAACACATCTGTCATTGTAATTCAGGTATTTCAATCTCTGCCTGTTCAAAATCAGGCACCACTAACGCATTTTCAGGCACAAACTTGGCCGAAAAGTCCATTGGGACACTGGCCGTTATGCCCCTTCGCACCTCAGGATAGCCCACGGCCCAACCCACAGCCCATTGATATGCATAAATATAGTCTTGGCACGCATAAAATAGCTGATTAATGGTTGTGTTTTTAAGCTGCATATTCAGTATTATTATAGTATCATAGTAAGAAGTAGGAATTAAGTAAATATTATACCGATTTTAGCATCATAATGCATACAAAATCAACCTAAAAAATATCCAATTTGACCCGTGGACCACGAATTCGTACCGAGGAGGGTTACTGAGTATCCGTATAAAGAGAGAAATATGTTGAACTCTCTCACGTGACCCATGATCACATGCTTCCACATGCCTCCCCATATCTGTAGATAGACTAGTTCTCTCTCTCTTTCCTCCATCATCATCATCATCATCATCATCAGCATCAGCATCAGCATCATCGCTGGTGATCCCACAATACAATCTATTGTGGTCCTCCATCTCATCTACTTGCCTGTAGCCTCTAACAGGTTATGAGCCTGGATCCTAACAAAATATATATGTACTGAATTCCTAAATATAAAAATTGGAAGGCGTTTAAATTTTAAGATGCAAAAGAATATGATATGGGGCACAGGGCGCTATGCACTGCCGTATCTAATATCCCAAAACAATGCCTTACTAGTTCGCAGTTTGAGGTTACATTGCAGGAATTGGATCAGTTGACACTGTAGTGCCTTCGAGCTAAGAAGTAAAAAGCTCAGAAATTGTAGGTCTCTGCTCAAACAGCAGAATCTCTGTAGATCAATCTTGGCGTCTTAGGATATGAGTGAGCATTCGTGAGGATTATCCCTACATGATGGAGATCATGCACATACCAGCCTATACGAGCCGTGGGAGTGGAGCCCCTAATAATTGATTGTCTCCGTGCACGGATGGGGTCCGCCTTTTGCAAGAACAGCTAGGAGCAACCCAATGTCATAGAAAAGAGGAAAATACAACGTTGACAGACAAAACGGTCCCGGAAGACTCAGTCTGATTATGTATTGACTAATAGAACTTTGTCTATATGTACGTATTGGGCAAGAACACTATGATTGGTTGTATCGTTTGGATCCCTTATTCACAGGCTGAAGCTTGCGTAGAGCACTGTTCTTCGCTATTGCAATGGTAAAATAAAAAATGGGACTTTGTTAAGACAAAGAAAGTTTAGACATTGGTTTGAGAAGCCTAGAAATATCAGTCAGAGTTTTAGAAGCTCAGGGACATCAGTCAGGCTTTATTTTTGCATTTTCATAATGTCTGTACAACACACGTAGTTCATTTTGTTTGCTTTGCAAAAATCATCCATAACAAAGAGCCCAGCCAGGCGACCCACTTTCGGCCTCGAATCAGTATTCCGGTTGGAAGTTAGCCTGGAGGGTACCGTATGGAGGGGTCTATCTGCAAGTCTAGGATATCCAATAGCACCCCACTTGGGCCTTCGGGGTCTAGGAAAGCGCTAACTGTGATACCAGAAGATCGAAGATTCCCATATACGGTTCGAGAGTGGAAAGACATAAACCCTATAAAACCACCAGGATATCCCGCTCGTTAATTGCAGTCTCACCATCGCAGAGAAAGTTCCTTTTGCTCTACATTGCTATATTTCCATATTCCCGAGTTTTTACCTTCACAATTACACAATGAAGCTCTCTATTGCCATCCTTGCTGCCTTCGTTGGGTTTTCCATGGCGTTTGCCGTGCCTAATACTAAGGATGTCTCTGAGCAAGCTGTTCCCAACAGCAAACTTTCTCTTGTTGAGAGAGGTGTCAACTGTCCTTCGAATAAACCAACTGACTGCTGCCCTGTGAGTTGGTGATATACACTGAATTGCATTTCCGTCCCACTAACAAGGTTCTGAATAAAGTGTTCCGGTGGCAGAGGAACTTGCATCAGCTACAGTTGCGTTTGCCAAGGCTGTTAGTAAACAGACAGCCGGGTACACCGAGTTTCGAGGGAGTTTCGAGGGACTACTCCATAGTAAGCCTCAGATTGTTATTACACATGCATCGTTTCTATTTAGTGATTGCAGCAAATCCATGTTCCTAGTGTCCTTCCTAAAGGTTTTCAAGACAACGTGGAATCAATTCAATAGCACTATAATATCCTTAATGTGGTTATTCCGAAACATTCACTTATCTGGTTGATATGTAGGAGGCAGAGGTCAACCCATCCGTGCACGGAGAGGTCCGTCCCAAAGACTATCGATTATCTTAAAAGGAGAAAAACCCCCCACAGAATTGTCGAGCAGTTTTCGTCCTCGCTGTAATCATGCTGATGGCGCATAATAGCGACCAAGGTTGAGGATGCAAGAGCCTAGCGGGCCGTTTTTGCACGTAAACGCTGTTAGGGGATCTCAGCAGCATAGGCATATCGAATAGCCAACGCACTAGTGGTGGGTAAAGTGGCCAAATAAGCGAAGAAGGTCTAGTATAGTTAGTAATTTGCTAAAGATACTGGAATTCTCAAGAGGGACTTACTAGAAATGAACTTGTAGATGGTATAATCGAAGCAGCTCATAACTCCGAGGCATAGGACTGACAAGGACATAACTGTGTAAGGGTAGATTATCAATGGATGACAACCAAGTTTGTCCGTAGTGACGGCAGTCATAAACATAGGTATCATGGATCGTGATGAACGTCTTTTTAGTTGAAGACGAGGAGCGCAAGGAACTCATTGCACAGATTATAAGTCAGGACGCCAGACTAGTTAACCTCCCTCGTGCAAATCTTTTCGACCTCTGGTTCTCGGACATCAAGAACCTTCGGGACTTTGCAAAGTTCCTTCGGAAGGAGGATCGTGCTTTCAACTAGACCAAGTCACATAACTCTCTCATTGGCTAGTGCCTTACAGCCTATTTTATCACCGCCTTCTTAAAGTAAGGTACATTAATTTCAACTTCTCTTTTAGATGTTCTTCTTAGGGTCTTGTTATTTGTCTTTTTAGTTGTCTTTCTAGATGTCTTTCTAGATATCTCTTTATATATCTTTTTATATGTCTTATTCATATATATAAAGGCGGCTAAAAAGCTTAAACCATAGAACTAGATCACGTTTCTATGTATAGGTATCACAAGAAATTTGAATAGCATCAGTACGTATTTTCCAATGTATTATAAAGCATCATCGAGGTTCAATATTACTACTAACTATATAACTGGGTCTAAGTTACTGCCAGGCAATATAACCCAATGAGAGAGTTATGTGATGGTGATCCCTATAGTCGCCCGTAAGAGTGACCAGCAACATATAACTTACATTGAAGACTCGATATATGTCAATTTATAGTTATCAAACAGCGTCTTTCATCACACCGTATACTAGAACGGTGCATTAACGTGGCACCAGTTCCATAGCTGCATTATTTGCGTTGCATTGCAAGAACAGTTTGTTGTTTTCAATCCATCTTCTCACCTGATAAAATCCCTGGTCGGTTCCCGACACGATTTTGGCAAGGTGGGTACTATACGAGCTTGAACCAGACCAGACCAGGATGACCGCATGGCTTATAATGGATTATTGGCATGTACCAGTCGGCCAAAGGCAGGTTGGCCCAGGAATGAGAGGACTTCCTCCGTATCCTTTTGTTTGTCTGCGTTACGAGGACAGTTTGTGACGTCATCCTCCGTGTTCATGCGGGGTAGGCATGGACGGTACCGCGACCCGAGTCGGTTGAATCTTCGATAACCGACGAAATCCTTGATCCAGGCTAGTTCCCCAAACCGCTGAAATTCTTCTTTGGTCCACATGGAGAATCATAAACAAAAGCTCCAGCCAAGGGTGGAGAAATTGGCGGGGTGGATGTAACGTTACCCGATGCGATGTCGTTGATGCGGAGTTCATGTAGTGGCGGTGGTGCGCATGTCTCACCTGCCAGTCGTATTGATTGGACGTGGGGTGGACACCCGGGTGGTGGCCTGACAATCCAAGACATGGAATTGGAGCCATGTCTTGGATCCAAGGCCTCCCAGATATGCTCTACGAGTACATCATCGATACTGCCTGTGGTCAGAGTAGCAGACCTATATGAGGACCCCAATTTCCTTCCCTTTTCGAGAGGAAAACAGATCATCCAACATTCTATTGCAAAACAAAAAGCGACATACCAACCATGAAGACCACCCTATTCACATTCGGTGCCCTCCTCGGCTTGGTCTCGGCCCAGAATGCCGTTGTGCATAATCACTGTGCCACCTCCGTGTATGTGCAGTCGTTCCCTTACGATGGGAGCGCCCCCGGTCCTCTCACTACCGTTGCCAAAGGAGAGACTTTCTCCGAAGAATTCAGAGAATCTGGTTCGGTACGTTATTCCGTCCCCTCCAGTCTGCGTAATAATCCACATAGCAAGAGAAACTGACTCGAGATCGAATGTACAGACTGTCAAGATCGCCAAGACAAAGACACTAGCTACGCCCCTCTTCTTTGGCTATTCATTCTCGTCCCACCCGGACTACGTGTACTGTGAGTGCACCCAATCTATCTGTCAGCTATGAATCCTTTACTAACTGCATCCTTCTTTAAGATGAGCTGAATACGGAATGGGGTAACCCCTTCGCAGCGGATCCCAACTCCCTCAGTGCCGGGGATGGCTGTGAGGCCTTTGACTGTGCGGCCAATGATGCCGCCTGCTATAGTACCGAGGCCTACAAGAAGGTCTACGGGTGCCCCCAGCCAGTCACCCTGACGGCGGACCTCTGTCAGTAACTATGTCGCCTACATTGGTGTATGGGGATATCTGGTTGCTTTGTTGTCCTTATTTCAACCATTTCAACCTGTGGCAGCGCGTCCCAAGGATAACTATGTGTGAGAACGAGACAGGCATTTGTCATGGCACTACTATATATAATCACAATAAAAAGAATATGATATACAACAAGATTACTAGTAGCATATATAGCTAGCGCTTCCTAGAGATTCCTTTTGGAGGATATGAATTTAGTCCTCCTCTTCCGAGCACTACAGGTGTTTCCATCACAACAACTAGCAGGTACGGGAAATAACAGTCTAGGGGCGTTGGGTGTATGACCGAGCCTGTAATTATGAACATATTTTCATTTTGATCTAGTCTTCTCAAATATTTCATCCACACATCAATATTACCACGAGTTAAGTGCGAGTGATACTCTCATCTGTATAAGCCCGTAGAAAAAGTGCTGAATCGGTGGCATCTAGAACTGGACGATATTGCTTTTTGGTCTCGGTTGCCGGTCGATGATTCGCAATTCCCGCCTAGTCTCCCACCCCTCCTCGATCTAGGTATTACCCATCTCGTAAGCAAAGTTCATGGTCCCTGACAATGGTGTTTGCGAAATAGGTCAGAGACCTGCTGGATATCGTCTTCCTGCTTGTACGACGCTCCCCTTGCCACGCACAGTGTTGTAACTAATCGGTTGCTCTGGATCAGGAACCACTATCGTCGACTCACGGATCTCCTCAGGTAACAGAAAACCGGCTTTTATGTTTGCGAAGAATGAGGAGCCTTCTGACTCCCACATCCTTAAACCAGTCTCATAATCTCTGTATCCGAGACAGCTGCACCGGATTCGATCTTCTGGGCTATTGCACTAAACTTTGCCGTATCTAGAAGTACAATAAGCCCGCCTACCTCACCCGGGTAGCCGAGGTTGTAGGTCCGCTCCACCTCTGCGGTGCTATCGAACAACATGCGAAGGAAGCCTGTGATCAGTAACTGGGCGCCGATTGCTCTCGGGAATAGGATGCGTAACGACTCTAGGTCTTGTTCTGTCAGAAATTTTCGTGGATTGATCTGTCCCTTCGCCAGGCTCTGCGCTAGTACGAACTATGCTGCTTTGGTCGGTATAAGACGGCTCTTCAATGGATAACCTACGGGGAGCATATGGATGTCTAGCCCGCTAGCTGTGATGTCGGGGACACTGCATGATATCAACCAAATGCGTCTACCGAAGGGCGAGCTAATGATATATACGATTGAGGCTTTTGATAGGGATCTGTGATGCGTTTGGAGGAGTCTCTCGTTGTCCCTTGTTGTCATCGTTAGTGGACGATATGGGGACGATTTGTCGAAAACCGTCAAACGATGATTCGGAACCAAGCTGGGTTCCAGGCACCGAAGCCAGAGATGGGACCAAGTGAATGGTCCATAGGTGAAGCTGTCGAGAAGCTCCAGGTGCAGTGTCGAAAACTGCAAAGATGGGATTAGTCAGCGAGGTGACCAACCATGATGGAACTCGATGGTTCCAGCCAGCAGGCAGAAATTGCCTGATTTGGACTTGATGAGGTTATTCCCAACTCCGGGAGTAGCAGGATCGATGAAAATTGATGGAAAGATCACGATTATGATGAAATTGTGATGATGTTGATGGATGATCAAATCCAGGGAGGTGCAGAGGTGAAACAGCTCTGCGTGGGGTAGCTAAGAAAAATACCTAGGTCGCAAACAAATGACAAAACCCTCTGATTGTTGTTTACCGCCCGAGGTGGTGTAGACTGGCAGAAAAATTTCTTCACACACACAGACAGATCGAGGACGCGATCTGATGTTATTCGCAAGTCCCAAAAGGGTAATTCTTGGCACGTTGCAAGATGCGAATCTGCCGGGGATATTGACTGATTGTGAGATCAAATCAATAACGGCTCCCCGGGCTCATAACCTGTTGGAATCTACAGGAAGGTAGATGGAGCCACAATGTATGTTGTATTGTGTATTGAGTTATGGATAATGAAGATGGAGGGAAGGGAGAGAACTAGTATGTGGGGAGACGTGTGATCCTGAGTCACGTGAGACGTTTCAACACATCGGCTCTAATCCAGCCCGTAAGGATGCCCTCTCACTAGTTCCCCACTCCATTGAATCAGTTCCTATTCGTGTCAGTGGCACAGAGCGTTCACCTCTTGGTTTGGTTTATATACTTGGTATCAGACAGTGCTCCCATTCACGCTTCTCCGCCTCCGGGCGGCGGTCCAGATCTTGGTCGGCATCATCGACAGCCGGGTACGTGTGGTATGGCTGCTCTTGAACCGTTTGATGTCCATTTTCGGAGATGCCCAGGTGACTTTTGCAGATAACGATCCTTTGGTCTTGAAAGTTCTCGTATCGACAAGATGCCACCTATCCGTGAGAGTGCCTTCCGCAACTTCTTGGGAAGATGTCGCTATTATTACGTATCACACTTTCCCAACCAAATCTAGACCGTTATTGTTTACAGCTGCCGACATACTAATCTTGGAAGGGTACTATGATTACTGAGGGTTTTGTAACAGAAATTCAGGTATTTTAATCTTTCTGCAGTTCTAAAGTCTGGCAGTCAGGCAGCAAACCATCTATAATGGGGGTTTTGAACCCTGGCCCCTATAAGTCTTGATACGCCTAAGCACTCATCTGCAAACCATGCGCAATTAGGTCAGTCAGGAGATTCACTGTCGTACTCCTTTTTAGCAGGACAACGAAGGGTACGTCGACCTCGAAGGTGCGGAAAATAAAGGTCCGGAACTCAGCAGCCAGCATAGAATCTAAGCCAAATTCGCCCAGAGGTCGATCCGCTTCCAGTTCGCTCTCGGGCAGAAGGATAAGATTGGAGAGCTTCTTCGATACAACAGCCCGAAATTCATCAACAATAGAAGCTGTATCTTGGTGGTCGCGCAGCGCTCGGGCGAGCTCTCGAGGGCGATGCGCCGCTGCGCTGTGTGTCTCGATCTCGCCCGCGACACGGCGGGTAAAGGATGCAGTGAACAATGCAGCTCGAGGATCAGCAAATACGTGGTTGTCTCCCTCGAATCCTCGTTCCCGCTGCTCGTGAAGACCGATGAATTCCACCCCGGTGAGAAGGTGGCTGCCCGCCAGGTTGTCGTACCGAGAGTCCCACACGCCTGGCCTTTGGTTCGCAAGGGCGATGTTCATGATCTGGACTAGTTCGTCTTCGTTGATGGGGTGGATTCCTTTGCGCTTCATGAGGGCCTCGATCTCGGGGTGCTCGTGCAAATATCCCACTTCCGAAATCATCCCGTAGCCGATGGAGATGGCTGGCAGACCGAGACGATTGCGATAGCGGGCGAAAGCGTCCAAGAAGGAGTTGGCAGCGCAGTAGTTGCTTTCGGTGGCCGTGCCCACGGTCCCGGAGATGGACGACGTCATGACGAAAAAGTCCAGCTGGGAGTCCCGACCCTGGCCCAACGCATTGTGAAGATTCCAAGTGCCCTGTACCTTGGGGCCGAGGGTAGTATGCCATGCGCTGTAAGGCATATCACTCCAGAGAGCCTCGCTGAGTGCCATGGCCGCCTGGATTACACCACCAATGGGGTAATTCGCGGCGTTCATGGCCCGTTCGACATCCTCATACCGGCAAACATCTCCCCGGATTACTGTGACGTGGGCTCCCTGGACCCGAAGATCATCGACTAGATCTTTTGCATCGGGCTTATCGGAACCGGATCGACCCAGAAAGACGAATCGTCGAGCACCGCAAGATATCATCCACTTGGACAGACTGCGACCTAGTCCTCCCAGGCACCCGACCATGAGGTAGCACTTTTGGGCACTGAAGGCAGTTTCATACTTCGTCGGAATCACCCTTACCTTCATGTCTGGATCCTGGAACGACACGGTTACTTTGCCCAATCGAGTGCCGAGGGAGAAGTGCCTGAACGCATCGGTAATATCCGACGCGTCGAATGTCTTGATTGGGGAACACGGCTCACAGATCTTGGACCTCACTAAATCAAGACTCTCTGTAAGGAGTGCTTTCCATAGTTGATGGTGGGCTTGCTTCTGGGAGAGATAGAGATTGGACAGGTCAAATGCCATGAAGGACACATTGCGGCCGAATGTGGACATGTCTAGCACGCCATGATCAAGGATGTCACGTTTCCCAATTTCTATGAAGCGGCCAAAGTCGGCACATGCCTCAAAGCTGCTGTGCAGAAGATCACCGGTGAGAGAATTCAAAACCACGTCAACCCCCTGACCAGAAGTGGCTTCCATAATCGCAGGAAGGAAGGTTGAATCCCGCGAGCTAAAAATGTGCGCCGGATCCAGAGCATACTTCTCGACGAGGAACGACTTTTTAGATTCGTTCCCGACTGTGGCAAAAATCTATCGAGTGTTTTAGTCGACAACGGATACAAACTGCTTACTGCTGGATCTGCAGATATGTTACCTTTGCCCCAAGATGCTTCGCGTATTGGATCGCCGCAATCCCAACGCCCCCGGCAGCGGAATGAATAAGGACAGTCTAATCGATTAGCCCAGGTCATGGAAGTGAGGTACCACTGCACCTACCTCTCCTGACTGTAGGTTCGCCCGATGCTTCAGTCCATAAATAACCGTCGAAAAAACAATCGGAATAGTGGAGGTGGTCTGCACGCATTAATTTTTTGTCTTTCTGTGAAGACTCGATCACGTACCGTAAAGTCCTCCTCGTTGGTCATTTTACACACTGCCCAGTTTGGGAATCGCTCCACAGTTGCAAAATGGCCGGGGGCCATTGCAACTACACGATCACCAGTCTTAAACTCGGAAACATTGTCGCCCACAGCGGTAATAACACCGGCACATTCACACGAACATGATGCATCCCTGGTGTCCACCTTGGCGCTTATAGCATACAAATCCTATTTCTCATTAACAACGCCACCAATAGACCCTCGCAAGCATGAAACCTACCTTTGCGTTCATACCTATACTCTTCACGCTGATTTCCACATCATCTGGATGCAAGTCGGTTGGATACTCCTTTCGCACGAAATGGATCGTGTCCATTTGCCCCGGGCTCTTGATACCCAACTCGCAACGTCCGGCAATTCCTAGAGGAGAGTCAATGGTTTCATTATTCTGCTTCAGACGGAAGCTTTCGTTGAGACGTTCATCTGGTTCCCAGCGAGAGATATGAAGGACGCCGTCTCGTTGGGCGAATTCAAAGTCCGGCTCCGGTTGATGAATCAGTCGGTCCAAAACATGGACGATATTATGCAGGGTGTCAGGAGATGATGCTGATTTAGCGTCTACATCTAGAACCGCAAATTGCAGGGAAGGCTGTTCCAGCATAAGCGCACGAGAAAGTCCCAGAACAGGAGCGAAGTCGGGGGTTTCTCCACCCACGAAACCGCCTTTGACGACCCATACGATCTTGGCTACACGGTCGGTTATGCTTTTCAGCTGCGTCATTTCACCCTCGTCAATCCGGCTTAGAAGAGGCTGCTGCAGTTCTAGGGTCGATATGACAAATGATCGGTCCGGAACGGTTGCGACGCTGACTTGGGACAAATCCACAATATTGACCACGGATCCTAAATGTTCTTGTAAGACCTTTTGGAGCTGTCGATCTAGGCACGTTATGTTTTGGTCTCGAGTCACCTGCACCCTTGTTAGAAGCATACTTGATGGAAGGTCATCTAACTTACCACGATTGTTGGGGGTTTATCAACCTTCCCCTCGCTAGGTAGGGCGCTTATGGTCGCGACTGTCACAGGAAAAGAACCACTTCCTTTGATGACCTTCGTCCAAGTGGAATGGTCACTGAGTGCATCACCCGTCATGATAACAGTTGCTCCCGGTGTGAGCCTGCCCAAAAGGACTGGCGTCCAGAGATCAACCTATCACCTATCAGCGTCAAGAAAAATCAAACTTGCAAAGTATCAAACATACCGAGGGGACGATAACTATATCAAACTTCCTTTCCTGTGGAATCCCCGCCGGGCGCTCTAGCTTTTGCTCGTCTGGACTTTCTGAGAAAACCTCCGCACCGACTAGCTCGCCGTCTTGGAAGACACCGCAAGAATAGGTGTTAAACCTTCGGAAAGATGACTCGACACGTAAGAGCCCACGGACAGTTTCTGCTGTCCGAGTTTGGATGCCAAGTTCGAGGATATTGCTGTTACACCGCTGGTGACAGGCTAAATCCAGGGCACCAGCCAAGCGCAGCATGTCCGTATTAGCCAACTCCTTAGAGCCGCAGTTCTGTACGAACCAGTTCAGATACTCATCAAGGACCGCGTTGGTAATCGTGGAGAGATCTGGCTTCCATGTAGCTCTCACGAGAGGATTTCGTTGCTCGGTAGCTTCCGTCTGTCTGTTCCCTTGGTAGGCAATACAACGAGCCTGGCCCATCCTGATCAAGACCTGACCAGACGAATTAAATAGCTCTGCGTTGATCTTAACCGTTCCAAATCCTACGTTCTCTGACTGGGAGTCAATGAACCATGGCCTGTCGGTATCCATGTCGAGGGCCGACGGAGAGGCGATGTAAACGGAATCCATCGCAACAGGGACGGTAGCCCGGAGCTTACTAACCACGCCGCTAGTAGTCGCAACGAAGGCTGTTTGTAGCATCGCATCTATGGAAATCGGATGTGCAATGTACTGACCTAACCCTTCTCCCCGCTGGAGATGTGTAGTGGCTGCTGCTACGTGCGCCGTGCGCGCGCGATCTCGGAAGACCTCCTCCATGACAGCAAACTTGGGACCCCAGTTGAGCCCTTCTTGAGTGAACTTGTCATACCAGACACGGACCGCATCCTGTTGCATCTTTGACATGTCAAGCTTAATCTGTCGAGTTGTCTGTGGCGAGGTTTCTGGGAGGCGGACAGCCGCGTTCATATGCAAGGTCGTCTGGGAATCACTGTCGATCGAGACAACACTGAATCTCCACCATTTATCTGAATTCGTCAGGTTGGAAATTTTCATCGCTCGCATCTCGGTAAAGATCTCCACCGTTGGCTTTCGCTCGGGATCCATGTCGAGAGCTGTGATGAAGTTGAGATCGCGAAGTTCCACACCAGGACAATCTGCCAGCTGCAGACCTGCAACCTGACACATCGCCTCGACTGCCATTGCGATATATGCAGCGGCGGGGAATACCACCGACGGACCCAGGCAATGATCCGTAAGCCAGTCGACTTCATTGAGGTTCAATATATTTCGCCACGTCACTCCCGCGGTGCTCCCTCCAGACACCTGAGATCCGAGAAGATCATGCCGGGGGTATTTGCGTTGACGGAATTCGGTACTGGCGCGAGGCTCGGACCACAGGGCGGGAGAGCTGTAGTCCCAGGGATAAGGAGGCAAATCAACCAAAACACCGGTCTTCAATTTATCCGCAAACATCTTGTGGTATTGAAGCTCATCATGTCCATGCAAAAACAGTGAACCGACAAGCTGAAGGGTAGTCAGCCAAGCATCTTGGTCACGGATGAGAGAGGAATTATAAATGTATCGACTTTGTTCGAGCGTCGAGGCATTCTGCTTGATAGGAAGTTGTAAAGCTGAGTGCGGACCAAGTTCTACCAGATGGTAAGTGCCACGCGCCAAGATATCTTGAATGGCCTCGTCAAATCGCACTGGAGATTCGAGGTTTGTTCGCCAGTATGTGGGTGTCCCAACTTGATTCGCACTTACCAGTCCACCAGTCACAGTGGAAATCATGACCACTGATGACTCTGGACAATCCAAGGTGCCATTTGCATCGTGTTTACCATTGGCCATATGCCAATGGCGCTCGAGTGAGGCCTCGTATTTCGAGCCTAGGATTTTCATGTGGTGCGAGTGGTACGCTTTACCTCCGGTCTTTAGCTTTCGAGCCCAGATATCCTTTTCTTTGAGTGTCCTAAGAAGCTCATTGACGGCGACGGTATCCCCACTCACGGTCGTGCTCTCTGGCGAGTTCGCACAAGCGACAGTAACAGACACTCCCAACGCACATTCCTCGATTATCGCCTCGGCCTGATCTTTCCCTAGTCCGACGGCCGCCATGGAGCCGTCGGGGGAATATTCGGAGACAGTAGTTCCGCGGAAAAAGGACGCGAAGATGGCTTGCCGAGCATCGATAGCCCCGGCCGCATACGCTGCTCCCATCTCGCCGGAAGAGTGGCCAGTCACCATCTCTGGCAGAGCACCCCAATCTTTGAGTACGTCCGTCAGGGCAATTTGCACTGCCGTACACAGTGGCTGTGAAATTTCTGCGGCGCTAATATCGCAGTGTTCATCACCTCGCAGAATACCCTCCAATGTCCAAGCGGGCGCGTGTTCTGGGCCAAGGGCGCGGAGACAAGAGTCAAGGTAGCCTATGGTCTTTCTAAACACGTAGCTATGGCTCAGAAGCTCTTTGCCCATTCCAGCCCACTGTGCTCCCTGTCCGGTGTAAACAAACACCAGCGGGAATGGTCCCTCACTGGTGGAATCTCTCACTTTCAGGTTTGCCACAGTGAGCCCCTTATCCAGGCTCGCTTGAGATTCGACTAAAAAGCCACGAGTGGCTAGCTTGGAGCGACGACAGCTCAACGTAAAAGCCAGATCATCAATTCGAATCTCCCGACCTGAGTCCGAAACGAAATCAGCCAGGTTACTAGCCATCTGTGCGAGTGATGTCTCAGATCGAGCCGAAAGAGGTAACAGATAGAGCTGCTCCGCATTTTCGCCTACCGGCCAATCCCTACAACCGTTAGTCAATAGGTCCATCTGCGCGGCTTCCAGAATAGCATGGCTATTTGAGCCACCGAAACCAAATGAATTGACTGAGGCTCGCGGAACCCGAGTTACTGGCCACGGTTGATTGGCAGTAACAATGTCCACGTTCCATTCCTTTAATTTGAGGCTCGGGTTGATCGCCTTCACTCCGGCCGTCGCAGGGAGTAAGTCATTTTCGAGCGCTAGGGTGACTTTGATTAGGCTTGAAAGACCGCTCGCCCCTTCGCTGTGACCAACATTCGGCTTGATCCCCCCAATAAGAGTCGGCCGTCCCGTCCGATGATGAAAAACATCGGCTATGGCCTCGACCTCCATAGGATCACCGACCTTGGTGCCCGTTCCATGCGCCTTTCACTGTCAGTATGGTAATTTTCCAGCATTTTGGGGAAGCCTACTTCGACGTAGTCCGTGTCTCCCAGATCCAGTCCTGCCCGACGATACGCTGCCCTAATGACGGCCTTTTGGCCTTCCACACTGGGCTGGACAATGCCTGGTGTTCGGCCATTTCTGAGCGCTATGATTAGCATTTGGATCTAGAATTAAAGTGAGAAACCCACCCGTTGACAGAGGTTCCTCGAACGATCGAGCGAATGGGATCTCCATCTCTCAGCGCATCACTCAGCCGCTTCAGATATACGGCTGACACGCCCTCCGCTCTACCATATCCGTTGGCTGATTCATCAAAGGTATGGCACATAGAGTCTGGCGACAAAATCCCCGCTTTGACAGCAACCATCTGCTGCTCTGGGGACTGTATGAGATTTGCAGCAGCCACCACGGCCGCATCACAATCCCGGGCATCTAGGGCCAAACATGCTGAATGCAGTGCATACAATGACGACGAACAAGCCGTATCAACCACATGGGATGGCCCACGCAGATCAAAGCAATGTGTAATCCGATTCGCCAGCACGGTCAGACCCGATCCTGTGGCACTGTATCGGGAAAAGTACTCCGGGTCTTTGTACTGCATATTCAAGAAATCGTTGGTGAAGTTGCCGACATAAACACCGGTGTTTGAGCCCTGGATTGTTTCCAACGGCACACCGGCATTCTCCAACGCCTCATAGGTCACTTCGAGGAGCTTCCTTTGCTGGGCGTCCATGGAGGTGGCCTCGAGGTTGTTGATTCCGAAGAATGCGTTTTCGAAGGCTCGGATGTCTTCCTGGATGAAGTACCCACCAGTCGAATTGATACTTCCTGGTCGTTCCGCATCTGAGTGATAATATGCCGCTGCATTGTAGCGCTCCAATGGAACAACGCAATGGCCCGTCTCGTTGCTGACGAGCAATTCCCACAGTTTAGATGGGGATGAAGCTTTCCCTGGTAATCGGCATCCTAATGCACATGTCAGTGCACCGAATTCGATGAGGATTTAGCAGTCCTACCTATGCCCACGATCGCGATTGGTTCACATTGGCGTGCACGAGTCAATTCTGGGTGCTCCATTCTAGCGCCTAATGATGGTGTTCAAATCAGGAGTTCTGGTCGGAATCAATCCCAATGGGTGTGTTACAGAGGGACCGACGAGTAAAATTGAGATGATACTATTGCTGTGCGCGAAACGTCTATCTTACCCTTTTATACTGTCGCGCGACTCGCGCCCACGTCAGGCACAAAAGCCTAAGCTGGATATGGTAACAAACTCAGAGCTTACGGCCCCCATGTTCGACTCAATTATAATTAGTTTAATTACTTTGGCGCTTTTCTCTCTGCCTCCGTAATTCACCCCGATGTCTTTCTATGCCCCTCACTACACCCATAGAGCTTATTTTTTCGTATGACCTTTCTCTTATATTGTATGCCATTGTCTTCAAGTTAGTTATGTTATTTCAATGTTAACAAGTATGCATTTACGGAGTAAACAATCCTATTATAAATTAGCTTAGAGCACGGGGCATACAACGGGCATCTAGCATATAACTAAAAGTATAATACCCTAACTAGGGTCCACAGCTCAACCGCACTACTTAAGCAGCTTAGTGCCTGTGGATCCTAGGGCCCGCCTGGGCGTGGACGGACGCGCGGGCGGGCCCACTCCGGCTCCCCTCAACTTTCACCCCACGAGATTCTTGAGATAAGATAACTAATGTATAACTAACTAGTTATTGTATGGTTATTGTATATTGTACAGAGTAAATTTATATTAATATATGTACTACGTGCCTAGATCTAGCCCACTACTTTTGTACTAAAAATTGGTCTGAGGACGACCACCATATAACGGATCGCCATAAGATATACAACCTTAGAGTGGATATAGAGTAAGTAGTAAAGGTGGTAACTTTTCGCCAAGCAATGTTGGTCAATCACAATTACACTCACAAACAATTAAGTTCCCCCCGGCGGCTGTAGGCCTCCATCACCAGCGTGTCGCGGAGGGTGTGTGACATCTGCACTAGATGCAGTAAGTGGATAAGACATAAGACCATGATATAATTGCACAGGCGTGTGGATCAAACGGTTCATGCAATTGGGTGGCGATCCTCCTCAGTTTGTTAGCGTAAAACTTGAGACCTCCGGATGTAACGCCAAATAATAACTCTTTCCAGCCCCCGAAAATATTCCGTCTAAAACTTAGCCAGAACGATCAGCCATGTAGGTTTCACAGATAGTGGTACGTCCCTACTTATATAGGTAGTGATGATGTATATTAAGCTTTTCTTTGTCTTTTCTTTGTCTTTTCTTTGTCTTTTCTTTGTCTTTTCTTTGTCTTTTCTTTGTCTTCTTCTGCTGTTTGAATGTGAAACTAATGTGTATGAAAATAAGACAAAAAAAAGGTTATAAATGCGCCAAACTACGAAGTAATCTTGTTTTTTAGACTAATGCAGAGAGCAATATAACCCCCCAAATACTTTGCAGGGATTGTGTTTGTGTTTCTCTTCAATTATGTACAGAGCTGCATGTCAGGCTAAATCGCTCGTGGTGCATTCTCCTTGCATTAACTCCTTCATTGCCTTGTGAATTGCCTTATTACTTCCGGCTCTCGTTTCTTCTCGGGTAGTATGCCCCCGATTCATGCCCGTGATTAGGACAACTTCACCCCAGGACTGAGAGATACGGTCGTAACACCGCCGTAACATGTCTTCTGCAGAGTCTGATGGCAACCGACAGCCGGGGCTCATTGCCCTTTGTGTCGTGATGCTCATATTGGCCGTGGTGTCGGTTGCCCTCCGCTGCTGGTCTATCTGGGGGTCGCGCAATCATAGGTTTGGCTATGATGACGCATTTGCCATCCTAACATTGGTACGTGGTGTTGGTGTTCCCTATTGGGCCTTTCCTAGACTTAGCGCAGAGGATTGTGTGGTAACACTGTATCTTCTAGCCCTTCATTATGGCCGAATCGGCCCTTATATTCTACTGGATCTCTCTGGGCTTGGGCCGTCATTCAGCCACATTACCCGTGAGCAATCAAATTGCGGGGCCTAAGATTATCTTCGCCGCCGCCTACTTATACGATGCATGCATTACCTTCCCGAAATTATCGGTGCTCTGCTTCTACCATCGAGTCCTGGGACGGGGAGCTACTTGGGTCCGCCCCGCACTCTGGACGGTTGGTGCGCTCTGCGTTGGCTGGCTAGTCGGGGTCTGGTTGGCGACCATCTTCCAGTGTACGCCCATTGATGCCGCCTGGGAGGCTGTTCCCGACGCCAGATGCTTCACGCAATGGAAATTCTTTACCGGGACTGCTGCCCCCAGTGCGATCCTGGATTTGATTATCCTATTGATCCCGCTACCACTTCTCTGGTCGTTGCACATGACCAAGGCGAAGAAGGTTATGCTAACTGGCCTCTTTATTTGCGGTTATTCGTAAGTTCCCCAAGCACATCAGGCCAGGTCTGACCACCAGGAACTTTCTAACCAGTATTGACACGTGCAGGGTGGTCATCTTGTCTATCGGTCGTCTCGTTACTCTCCTCAAGGCCGGCTCTTCCTTGGAAGAGGATCTGACATGGAGCACCATTGAATATATCTGTTGGGTGCAGTGTGAAGGCCCGATTTCTCTCATGTCCGTCTGTCTACCTAACATTATGGAACTTGCACGCCGCCTGCGGAGCAAAAATAAGCAACCCACCACAAGCGCAATATCATTATCTAGGAGCAAGCAAACTGCCTCGGAGTTGTTGAGTGGCAACCGATCATTTCATCCCCTCGACGAAGACACAGAGGCTATCCTGATGGGCCGGTTCTCAGGGAATCCGAGCAGGTATTCCACTAAAACCACCATCGAAGCAAGGCGATCGGTCTCGGAGCAGGATAGTGTCTGACGGATTGCAAGTACATATTTCTCTTGGTTCTACTTTTATTTTTGGTTACTTGCCTGCCCTCTTCTAAATATATAAGGAAATAAAACCACTGAAAGACAAAGAATACCTTAAAACGACTTGCAATTTCCACGAAGCTTAAAGAGGATTAATTACATGACCCAAGTAAATTAAATGTACAGTGTAAACCGTGTAGTTCTATTCCCAGCGACTATTTAAATCCAACATTTCTCTACTCAACAACTGCTACTTGCTTCAACAGGTCCGCTTGAATGTCATGTAAAAATTCCCTCATCTGCCCCGGAGTGTGGAAAGCTTCGTTATACACCAGCCGGAGTGTCAACTGACCACGGAACGTCCACACAAAAACCACTCCTTGGCGCGAAATTATTTCCACGCCCACCCCGGCATGCGTGATGCCAAACCCGCGCTCCGGGGTTCCATATTCGCGGTCCAGATATTTCTCCATGATCCCCATACTGCTGATATCGATATCGCTGGGCGGCTCTGTCGGCGCCGGAAGGTTCTTGATCACCTCGACCAAAGTGGACGCATACTCCCGGTGTGCCTGTAGATACTCGCTGCTGATTCCCTTCTCATACTCAGCCTGATACATGCGGGCATTCTCCTCCCACGTGCTGGAGGTGTCAACCCGCGCCAACCAGCCAGACGTGTATAGCCCAGCTGCTGCCGCGGGGGTCGAGTACGGTTCGGGTAGATACGGCCGCAACGACTGTTTGATGGTGCTGGTGTAGTGGCGGTCCTGGTGCTCGGCGATCGCGTGCCGGAAGTTGACCGCAGCCAGACTAGCATGTACAGCGGCTGTGATCCCGACGCCGCGTGCTTTTGCGGCGGACACAGCGGCGGATGTGGTGGTGGGAGAGAACTGCAGCTCCGCGGCCCGAGTGCCGGAGGGCACGCTGGAGGCATCCCCGGTATAGGGCACCCCGAGGGCGCCCGCCGCCAGGGCAAAGGTGCCGACTGTCCCGTGGGCGACAGCCTTCTGCGCGTCGGTCGCGGTGAGGGGCATGTTAGCGGCTTCTTCGACTGGTGGCGCTAGCCGTGTAACCTCCGATCCCCAATGGAAGGATTCAAAGGGGTCTGGCAGCTTTCCTGAGAGAAGGAGGGTGTCGGCGTGGGAGACCATCAGGTCCACCAGCTGGCCAAGGAGGAAGAGGCCGCCGACTCCATCCATGCGCCAGTGCGCTGTGTGTAGGAGTAGTTCCTTCGATTGGGGGACATAGTATAGCCGGGCGTCCGGTGCTGGTGCAATGGTTGAAATGACCTCGTCGGCGGACTGGGCATCCTCCACCACGATAAAGGTCCGCGAGGCCCATTCGATAAGAGCATCGGTAGAGTCAGGAACTCTGTAGACGACATTGGAGTTGGAGTCCGGATGCGCAGCTAGACTGGGGTGCTGGAAGCGCAGGTGCAACCAACTGTAGCGGATGAGGGTTGGTAGAATGTCGGGCGGGCCCGATAAAGCCGCGAATTCCCCACGAGGACTGATGGTGGCCGTGTAGTTGACGGCCCAGTGTTCACGACCGAGCGGGTGTCCGGGATCACTGACTAGCTTGATGAACACCTCGTTGGGGCCAAGGGGCCGGGTGAAGGTGTTCGGCGAGTGCTCGGCTGACGTCCACGGCATGTTGGGGCGGGGTGATTGCTGGTGATCGATGCAGGACGGACCCCGCGTTGGTCAAGGCAGTGGATTAAATAGAGATGCGACAAAGATCAATTGGCTTTAGGCACCGAGTGGAATCTCGCCGCTAAAATGCCCGAATAGCGGATCATGGCGGAGACCAGTTTCTGAGAGAATTAATATCATTATTAAAAAGGTCGTGATGACCGCAGAAGACCAATCGAGACCGGGTGATCACCTCAAGTCATACTCCGTACAGGGGTTGACAGGACCGATGTAACCTGAAAAGAGAGCTTACTCGTTTCATCGGTGGATCGTCCATTCAAGGAGGAACGACCAATCAACTTGCCACGGCCGCCAAGGCGGGCCCTCCTCAATTGGTGTTCGTCACATCTGATGGTTGACCTTACTATATCCAGCAGGACACCGGTCGATCTATGTATCAGTACCCCTTGGTGAGACTGGCGACAAACATCCTAGACCTTTAATTCCCAACACCCAAGCCACTAATATATATTTGAGTGGCATTGGCCCCTTTCTGTACTGAAGAATCATACAATACAGTACATCATAGCAATCAGGCTTATATCGAGCCCCGAGCCCCGCTGCTAAAACTTGTGAGCAATGACACGACATCCTGCATGCATAAAGAACACTAGAGTCAGCACCAACTGCAGAAATTTTTGACAGAATCCGCCGTCCATAGCCCCGATGCAGGTTGAAGGTGTTGCTCTAGTCCTTGGTGCTGGTATGCTGTCCATCTCTTCCCTTTCTGGTTATTGTCTGCTGCATCGATCCCAACGCCAACTCCCTGGCCAATTGTTTGCGCCAGTCACCCACCAAACTAATAGGTGGATAAATTGAACTATAGGAAGTGGCATTGGCTGTGCGATTGCCAATACACTTGTTGCGCAAGGCCTCACCACTCTAGTCTGCGCCGACATCAATCTTTCCAAAGCCCAAGAAACCGCCACGTCCAGCTACGCAATCGCAGGGCGAGAGCGTGAAGGCTATGAGGCAACCGCCTACCATGTTGACGTCCGTGAGGAGGCGCAGGTGCAATCGTTGGTAGCGATAATCAAGGACCGGTATGGCCGCATCGATATCTGCATAACTACAGCCGGGGTAAGCCAGTCAACTTGTGATTTCGTCTCCGTGCTATGCTATTTCTGACCACCCAAGGCCAGACCCCTGCTGCCAATCAAACCCCGATCAGCGATATGAGCCTAGAAACCTATAGGAGCATGGACGAGGTCCACAATATCGGTTGCTTTTTAGTCGTCCGCGAGGTGATCCGGGCAATGATCAGCCAGGAGCTGGTTTTGACTAGACGGCAGAGCCCAACCCGGGGTTCAATCGTAGTGTTAACCTCGCTGGCCTCGGAAGGGGCCTTTCTTGGGGTGGGTAATTATATTGCGGCCAAACACGCTGTCAAAGGGCTGGTTCAAACCGCCGGTGAGTCCTTGCTTTCGTTTGTTGTATTACTGGGTATCTGACTTGATGGACCAGCTCTTGAAAACGCACGCAATGGTATCAGAATCAACGCCGTCGCTCCCTCGTACGTTTCGGGGCCGTTGATGGACGAATTCCTGGACGGTGCACCGGCTGTCAAGGATGTTATGCTGGGTGATTTGCCGATGAGACGGCTGGCCAACCCGGAGGAGGTAGCCGACGCGGCAGTGTTTCTGGCGTCTCAGGCTGCCAGCTATATCAATGGGCATACACTGGTTGTGGATGGGGGATCATCATTGCAATTGTCAAACCAGCCTTTTTCGTGACAATATTTAACTGTTGGTAATGGCGATGCGATCCAGATGGAAATGGAATGGAGAAAACACTGTGTGAATTGACTGTCTCGCAAGAGGAGAGGAGGAAGAGAAGGAAAGGAGAGAGAGAGCTATCATATATGGAGGTTCTATCACATTGTGATGCCTCAGGCATCCAACAGTTGGTGATTGTTCAGTTAGATAAATGATGATACCATCTCCCATCCTTGTTTACTATAGGTTCTCATGGTTACCTGCATTTCACATGGATTGATCAATCAAGACTTATTCTCTCCTTTTCCCTCTGGAAGTAGCCACCGCAAATAGCAATGATTGATTTATGCATTAACTACTGTCTGGAGATACGAACAAAGCGCAACGAAATACCCCGGATGAGCTCAAGTCTTAGCATCGACAAGAAACAAGCCGATAAGCTCCATCTTATTATTGATGGGATATAGGAGTTTCGAAGTACAGGTACGGTCTCCGCAAAGCTGCCAAATTGTCCCGGCACGGCAATGGGTACAGTGTGATCTTATGTTTCGCTATTCCCAAAGTTCGAGTATAAATATCTAATAATACATTTGTGATGCCCCCACCTGGGAAACCCCAGGGAAGTCTTTGCCCACCTGTACTCCCTAATTCCGTGATCAACGGTTGATGCCAGACTCAATGACCGGGCCATTATAAGCCTTCCTTCCACTGACCAAATACCATACTAGCCCGATGAGGAACTCGCCAGTAAAAACTACAATTGACCAGTTCATGCTCGCCAGAGTGACCGGCATCTCGGCAGGGAAGAAGGAGAAGAAGATGGCAATTGTTAAGAAACAAATGGCGGCAATATTGATAATAATGCCGAATTTGCCGAGCGTCCAGGGGCCATATGGAATCGGCTCTCCTCTGGTCTTCTTTATGAGCATGAGGACGATGGCGATTTCGTAGGAACCGAACAAACCCGCAGTGGTCAGCGAGATGATGGCATTGAATGCTGCCGTTGATCCAACGTTAATGATGCAGATACAGCCGGTGATGCATGCGCAGAGACCGACAGCGCGAAGAGGAAGGGCGGATTCGGAGCTGACCTATACGCCGGCAATAAAGTTAGTCAGGGAGAGGCAAAGGGGGTGATAATCAGCCATACGTGAGCGAGGAAATTCGAGAATGGCAGTCCCTTGTCTCTGGCAAAGGCCCAAGTGAGACGCGATGCGGAAGCCAGGAACCCAAATGACGCACAAATGACCAATGCTGTGGGAATGGCGGTCATCACAGATGTTCCCACGTGGGACTTGGTGGCCGCGTAGAAGACTTCGATGAAGTCGTAACCGGTGGCGCTGTTCAGGGCGTCATCCACATTTCCGATACAGAACAGGAAAGCGACGACAATGGCAAACCCAAGCGTGCCGTTTAACAGGATTGTGCCGATCATGCACCAGGGGACGATAATAGAAGCATTGATAACTTCTTCGGCTGTGAAGTTCTGTTAGCTTACAATATCTTCAACTACTGACTTGAATCTTACCCATATGGCACGGGCCGTCATAACCTGCAGGAATTAGTCTGAAAAGGTCGTATTCGAGGGAAGGATGGATGTCGCACCAATGAATGGGAGGTTCGTGCCCGCCAGGCCAATCAACCAGGTCAGACCTGGGTTGTTCCATCCCGAAGTGTTTTCAAAAGCCCCAAAAACTAACGAGGCATCTTTGTGAGGTGCCAGATAAACGAGAGGAATGAGGATGGCGAAAAATCCCGCGATATGAAAGATCAGAATCAGACCCTCGATCTGAGGAAGTAGCTTTGCTCCGATGGAGTTGACAATCACGCAAATAATCAATGCAGCGAACATCATCAAGGTTCCCTGCCAGCCTTCCGAAACATAATTCGGGTAATTCAAGACTACAAGGCCCTGGGTGACTGTCGCTGCAAAATAGACACCAGCTGCAGTGTTGGCCCACCATCCAATCATGGCCATCCATCCCGTCACCCAGCTCAAAAACTTTGCCTGACCCTTCGGAGCTAACATTGCCACCCAGTGGTACTGTCCGGAAGAGGTAGGGGCCCTGTTGTTTGTTTAGCCTCAAGCCTTGGATTATTTGGGCGGATTCAATACATTGAGGCCATCTCTGCCAGCGAGGATGCAGTTACCAAAGCGCCAAACCAGCAAAATAAGAATCCATAGACGAGCGTTACTGGGCCACCATCAATCATTGCAGTTAAATTAGCACTGCGGTAAATGGTTAGATTGAGTCCCATGAAGGTTTGGACAGCTCAATCTCACAAAAGCACAGCCTCCCAAGTGCACATCATAGTTGTCGTGAATCCCAACATGGACAAGAATCCAAAGTTTCGCTGCTTGCGTTAACTAAATCCAACCCAAAGTCTGTTCTTCATTGACGGGATACCTGAAACTGCTGCTTCTTGCCCTGCTTTGCCATATCTTCGGCATCACGATTCTTGTAATTGCTGGAGCCCAACTCCTGGACCGCCATCTCGCCATTCTTGAAGGGCATTTTGGTGTTGTGTTGCAAAATCCGGCCAAGGTAGACTATAAAAGGGAAAGCTGGAATGAGTGGGGATAGGGGATAGGGGAAAGAAGAAGAAACTAAGAAACAAGCATTGAAATATAATAGACAATGCTTAGCACCCTTCCTGTTATCGGACGTCCAGATAGATACTTGGAAATGTGGCTTAGCCCTCGGCGAATTTATCAAGTCTTCGTGAATATGGGAGGGTTTTTCCGCAATATTGATCCCTCATAGATCCAATGCAATCAATTTAGGCTAGAGACAAAAGCCAGTATCTAGAATCACCGAGAAATTGGCAGGGATATTCATTGACACGCCTACAACATATGTTGTAGGCTAACTACGCATACACTATACAATAGCTCGGTACTTTCGGTATACTGCGTACGCCACACGGATTTACTATGCCATAGTATTTCCGAATGAACATCCCGCGCACGGTGTCTAGGGTCGATCCCGTTTTATTAATTAATTCAAAGCATATTGGCACATGAGAACCATGTCCCGCTGCTGTGGGGGCTGCATGTAACAGTTCTAAAGTGCAATTGGGGGCGCAATTACAAGCGTCATTGATAGACTCGTACAGGACGGAGTACTCCGTGCTTATCACGAAATCACTGTAAATACTCCTAGTGCAAATTAGCTCCTTTAATTAGTATGCACGGAGTCCCAAGACTTATAGTGGCCAGGGTTCAAAACCTTCGTAGATAATTTGATGCCTTAATGCCTGACTTTAGAACAGCAGAAAATTTAAAATACCTGAATTTTTATTACAAAAGCCTTCGTAATCATACAGTGACTCCAGGGCTCCGCAAAAGTGTTAACACCCTTCTGCTACCGCCTTCTCAATTAATTATACCGCCCTTTACCCCTTAGCTTTTATTGGTGGATATCCAGCTGGTAGAATACAGGGCCAAGTGGTTTCATCTCCACATAGACAAAGCCCCTGGTCTGTCAAATCCTCTTCATTGTTAATGTTGACACTTATAACCCGACACAAAAGATGGAGGTAACCTGCCATTTATATATAGATGAAAAGCTTCATTTTTGAAACTTGCAAAACCGTCCAAAATAATGGGGATACTGCCATTTGAATAAATTTACCACACACTGTATAGAGCGGTGTAAAAAGCGGTGCTAAATAAGGCACCCAGGCATTAAATCCCATCTACAAAAGGGGGAACCCTGGCCACTATAAGTCTTGGTAGCACGGAGTAGAAAGCTTGTGGACGAAACATCAACCCCGCTTTCATATCTATTTATGTTTCTCGACTCCCTACTTCCACCATTGACATAACTCTTCGACGCTTTTGCATTCTTTGGTTTATTTAACATGGATACTATTGTTGACTGGTCCCTACGTCCAGTCTACTCACCGGAGCAATTGAACCAGTACTTTAACCGAATCGATCTACCTCAAAAGTATCGGGAGTCACCGGTGGTCAAGTTTGGTGCAAATGTCGACAATGAGGCCGCCCTAGCCTTTTTGAAAGTTTTGCAACGACACCAGGTGGCAGCGGTGCCTTTTGAAAATCTCAATCTACATTATGCAGTCCACCGCGGCATTTCCATTGATGCCCAGAAACTATTTGACAAGATAGTAGACTCCAAATCCGATCGAGGGGGCTACTGTATGGAGAATAGTACTCTTTTTGGGACCGTCCTTAGAAGTATTGGATACAATGTCACCTCGGTCGGAGGTCGGGTAAATGAGGCGATCCAGCCCATATCAGCCTCGAAGAACTGGAAAGGCCCAAAGTACGACGGGTGGTATGGTCACTCCTTGAATCATATTTCTGAAACATACTGAACGGTCGGATGCAGGAACCACATGGTCAATATCGTTGCTGTCGGTGAACAAAAGTACCTGATAGATGTGGGCTTCGGCTCGAATGGGCCACATCAGCCACTTCCATTGATCGACGGGTTTGAGGTGCACAATGTCGGCGACCAGTCTGCCCGACTCACCTATGGGCCTATTGCCCAGTACACGAGGGCTGGCCAATTCCTCTGGCAGTACGATATCTGCAATGCAGGCAAGGCGTGGATTCCTGCCTATTGCTTCACTGAGACGGAATTCCTTCCGGAAGACTTTACGATCATGAACTACTATATGAGCACTAGTTCAGAGAGCATGTTTGTTTTCCACGTCCTGTGTATACGGATGATTCTGGACGATGAAGGTGAAAAGGTCATTGGCGATCTAACACTATTCGACAATGCACTGAAGCGCCGCTTGGGGGCCACGTCGGAGGTCCTGCAATCCTTCGCCTCGGAGGAGGAGCGTGTGGCTGCCCTAGAGAAATATTTTCGCATTGCACTTTCGAAGGAAGATCAGGAAAGTATCCGCCAAACGACCTCGGAAATTCCGTAGTCTTGTCTATCTAACAACTTTGCGACCCTATCGATATTACCTGATCGGTTGTCCATCTTTTTACTAGACAAGGCATTTCATTGATAGCTTACGTGTACTCCGTGTAAATCATC